GCTTGGGGAGCGTGGGGGGGGGGGGTCGGTGAGCCGAGAGCCGGGATCATATATAGGCCCCTTTAGTTGAAGATGTATTAATCAATTAAGGGGTATTGGGCTCTCCGGGTTATAACCCTAAACCCTAAACCCTAACTTCGTGCGAGTGTGTGAGTCGAAACCCTAACCCCTAAACCCAAACAACCTATGAACCTCTAAGCAGGCACTGCCTCCCTGCGCCCCTTGCAGCGCTGCGGAGTGCCGCCTCCGGAGCCTCGGGTGCCGGTCGCTGGCGCCGGGCTGCGCTCCTTCTGGAGGCTTGGCATGCGGGGCTCTTGGATTCAGAATCACGATGTTTATGAACGGTTTAAGGAAGTTTAGGGTTTAGGGAATGAACATAGCGTAGTTACCAGAATGATAGTGTTATGGTTAGAGGGTGATGATAATGAGAAAGCACCACATACAGTAGTTACCATAATGGTAGTACTAGGAAGAAATGGTAGGTAAAACTAGCCAACATCGCCCCCCACATTCTAATCTAGATCCTTCGGAATGATAGTCGTTTAGTGTAATATATAACCATGGTAGGTATACCTGCTTAGTCATCCTCACTTTCTCTTGTCTAAAGCAATCTGAATGATGGCATTGAGACGATGATGATGATGAGGATGATGACCATGGCCACGACCATGACCATGACCATGACCATGATCAGGATGATGATTGTCATGATGTTGTTGCTGCTGATGATGATGATGATACTGATAGAAGCAATGGCACAGGTAACACTACTCGTAACAACAAAACACTGACAAGGCTAGCAGGCGGGGGGTTATAGGGTTGAGGACTTCTAGGGTTTAAGCATGCGTAGACACAGGGGTAGCAAAAGGGATTGGGGTCATAGGTCCTTAAGTTGTTTAGTGCTCCTAAAGTTTTGGGTCCCGGTTATGCAGGCTTCAACATTACTGCAATCTGTTGTAATAAGCATTCTACTAGTGACAGGTTACTGGGAGCGGTTTGACTAATGCTTTTCGCCACTTGAAGCCTTGTTTGCTGCTTGGAGGTCGAGATGATTTCAGTCGGTTGGAAAGGGCTCGTTGCTACGAGGCTCTCGGATGGTTGTGTGGGTGGTTACAAGCCTCAAACCTCCGAAGATGAGGAGATGAGCCCATGCTAGGAGGGCACAGCCCGAAGCTCAAAAGCCTTAAAATCCATATGCTATTTACCCCATAAACCCTAAACCCCAAGATGCATAAATTATGCTATATACACCATCAACCCTAAACCCCAAAAAGCCATAATTGTCAGGGCCCACCCCCCAAGCCCAACCAAACAGAAGCCAAAAGAGTCCCGGGCTTTGCGAACCCTGACAGCCCTGATAGGAAACAATTGCAACCACGACTTTCTACGTTAGGGGTTTTTTAGGGTTTAGGATTTATTAGTGCATTGCAGCCCCTCCTCAAAAAAAGGTTTATAAGGCCTAGGGTTTCGGGGATCCTAGGGTTTGCGGATTCCTGCGTGCTGACGCAGCGACTGCGACAAGGTCTCGGCGCAGGGGGCATAGCACAACGAACCACGGAGCACACTCCAAGGGTTTACTTATAAGCTCTTGTAGTTCCTTTTGGGGATGACCTTAGGGTTTAGGGTTACCCAGAAGCTCTTGTAGTTCCTTTTGGGGATTACCTTAGGGTTTAGGGTTTAGGGTTACCCATAAGCTCTTTCTTGTAATTCCTTTTGGGGATTACCTTAGGGTTTATAGGGTTTAGGGTTACCCATAAACTCTTGTAGTTCCTTGTTGAGAGTACCTGCTACGATCCTAAATAGCACAAAAAGGAAGTACTATGGCGCCTATGGGTAGGGTCGCTGTCAAGCGGGTTTCGGCGTCAAGGCTCTGTTACTCTTGTGAGGCACCTTGCCTCTTGTGTAGTAATAATTGGGGTTCTAGGTCCAGTCGCTTTATACGTGTGATAAATACAGCTCCCCATTTTAAACCCATTATAACTACCCATGAACCCCGAAGAACGCGTTTCGTGCAGTGCAGGGTTTTGGGTTTTAGCTTCTTGGCGAGGCATCTTCTGACGCCGCAGACACGGCTGCCATTGCGTCGGCTGCGGCTGGATCAGAGCTGTTCAGCTGCAGGTTAAGGCAAACTAAACCCGACCCCACGTGCCTCCCCCTGCGAACCAGACCCTACAGTAACCCTAAACCCTGAACCCCCAGGTTTGGGGGAAGGCTGCTCAGCCTTAGGGAAGGTGAGTCCTAGTTCCAAGATGCTGATGCATGTAGACCTCAAACCCTAAACCTCAGAACAATCAGCTAAGCACAAGATCATATTCGCTCGGCTGACGCGTGTGGCACACCTAGCTTCGGTTTAGGGTTGAACGTTTAGGGGTTCTAGATCGGGTTTAGGATTAAGGGTGTCCCCTGACTAAAACCCAAAACGGTAGAAACCAAATCGAGCTCCACATACTGTATGTGCGGGAAACAAGAGCAGCTTAAGGGTATCAGCAACATCCAGCAACAGCGTTCGATAATGCTTCAGGCACTGCACCCTAACCCTAAACCTGGCTGAGCGGCACCTGAGAAGCGCAACGGCAAAGTGCCGTTGAACTCGACATTGTCGTATTGGTAGTTGCAGGTGGCCTCGAACCTGTTTGTTTACATTTGTTATATATATATATATATAGGTATATGTGTATATATATATGTGTAAAAAATACAGAGTATTACATGTACGTTTTTCACACACACACACACATACAGACAGAGACAGACAGACAGACAGACAGACAGACAGACAGACAGACAGACAGACAGACATGAATGCAAACATCCATGCATGCACGCAAGCATGCATGCGTACATACATGCATACAGATTGTTCGCTAAGTGC